GAGGGTGGTGTGGAGTGGGACGCAAGGACAGGGCCCGCGGGCGGCCACCTCCGTGGTCCTTCCCAGTCTCAAATGCAGCGATTCTCAAACACTTAGGTCTCAGACCCCTCTAGCCTTTGTGTGGGTTACGTCTATCAATAACTGCCCCGTTAGAAATTAAAACTGGGAAATTTTTACAACACGAGAATATTCGCACACACACAGCATGCCCGAATGATGCTCGTCACACTCTGCTGTCACTCCTGTGTCTTCGTAGTGTTGCTCTGACCTTTCTAACCCCTTGAAAGAACACCGAGAACCACGGCTCTGCAAAGCCCTAGGATCCCTGTCCATAATGTCTTTCAAAGTCTACTGTATTGAATAAATTATCACTGGGCCATTTTATCCAATCCAGCTGTTCATTTGTTTATTCACTTTTTTGACAAACACTGAATGAAAACCTGTAACAAAAAAGGCACTGGTCAGAAATTATACTGTGGAAAACATGCAGCATGGCAGAACACCGTCTGATATTAGAGCAAGAATGAATTTTAAAACGGTATCAGAAATCAACAAATCACTGCCTCAAACGTGGGGACATCTACGAAGCACCAAGGGCCTTACTCTAAATTAAGTGGCAGGTCACGCAGTGCCTAAGAACTAGCACTCAGCACCGAGGACGCGGTCAGGGCGAGCGCAGGCGCAGCTGGCACACTGGTGCCCGGCCGGTCCCCGTAGCCTGGGTGCCGGCACAGAGACTTTCCGGCACAGGGTTTTGCTGTGACAGGCTGTTTACTGGATTCCAGAGGGCATTTTCCACTGAGATCAACCAAACAGAGAAAACGCTGAGTTCCACGGAACGAGATCGAAGGCACAGAGCGGCAGAAAACAACTACTACTCATTTCTGAAACGACAGCAAGTTCGTGTCACCCAAAGTGGATGCGCTGACACAGATGCCCGCCCGCTCTGGGAAGGGGAAGAAGCATTTGGGAGAGCCTACTAATTAATGACCACCCCGTCATGTATTTTTTTAAGAAAACCAACAACGCACAAGCATCTCTGCACTTCACCTGCACAGATGGCGGCTATGAGGCCCTTCCTCTTCTCCTGCTCCTTCAGTATCTCCTTCACGGCAGCAGACTGGTCGAAGAAAACAAAAGAGCATCAGGCTGCCAGCAGGCCACAGCCAACCTCTCACTAGAAACTGGTAGAATCTAATTTGAGCTTAAACCAAAAGATTTTAAATCTATTTTTCAATAATTTTCTAAATTAGTAACATAAAAAGTTATCAAATGTATAACGTTTCTACATTCCTAAACCTAATTAGGGCATTTATTGAAAGGGAAAGGCCTCCTTTTAAGGACGCTGAAGGACTGCACGGGAAAAGCCCTTTTCCTGGGGCGCAGGGACTCTCCCCTCCCTCCCCATTCCGCACTCGAAGGAAAAGGATGGAAGCGAGCGGAAGCGGCGTGCGGGTGTTTTCAGACAGCAGAGTCGGGCAGGCTCACTGTCCCACAGGTGTGACCCGACCTACTTCAGGAGCTTGTCTGCCCTGCCGGCCCCTCCCCCTGCCCCTGCCCCTTCCCTAGGCTGACACCTCATCTAAGGCTTAAAAGCGAAGAAGCAGGGGCCTCTTTGGACGCCATTTTTCATTCAAGCTGGCAGCTCTAGCCCCCTGCAACCCTCCACACCCTGACTGTTGAAAAGACAGCCAATCTTTTACCTTTCTATGCTTAAGCCTTCATAAAACACAAAATTTTTCTTTTGCTCTTGACGGGGAAGAAAAAAAAGTAGTCTAACATTTAGACTGTATTCACCAAATATGTTCATAAACTGTTCCACCAATTCAGCTTACTTCTGTAGCAAATGTCATTAGAAATAGCTTTTAAAAATCAAATTAGAACACCATTTTAATTTCACTTGTTCTTGTTTTATTCAGTCTCCTTCTCGAAATATTTTAATAATAACAAAATCAACAGAACACAAGCAGATGTTGAAATACTTTAGACAGACAAATTATACAGATAATTTACCTCCGATAAATTCTGGGCGCCCAGATTACCTCCTGGCAGAATTACGACGTCATAAGGTCCCTGTAACAGTTTAAAAAATAAAAGTGAAAACATTTTCATCTGAAGTGTGCACTAAAGTGGCAGTCGATAACATTTTAGTATTTTAAATACAGGTCATCAAAATAACCTGTTCACAGAACAGCGAAGTAAGTTACGGTGGATCTCTAGGACAGAATGCAGAGTCTGGAGAGCAACGCGACAGTGTGTCTGTGCTGCAGAAGTGCAGGTGCAGCACGACCCTGTCCCTGTAAAAAGAAACAAAGTGTCGTGTGCAGATGGCCCGTCCGCACGCACGTGCGCGTAATGCGCAGACACTCACACACGAGGGAGATACCCCCGCCACTGGTGGGGACGCAGGGGAGGGAAGAACGAGAAAGGGACGGGCCACGTTTTGACTTTATGTTTGTCTTCGCTGTATGAATTGTTTTTCAACAAGAATGTACATAGTAATAAAATATAATAAAAAACATTTTAAGTAAAAGGCATAGAAAAAAGTTTTAACTTCATGAAAAATGAAACTTGGGAGAGAAATGACATTTTAGTATCCCCAAATGTCCTAGAAATCTAATGATTTCAAACTTGCTGAAATCATAAAATGGAAATTGTTTCAACAATGCTTTCGAATGTTAGAAAGGTTTTAAAAATTTAGTCATCAAGCAAATTATAAAACTTTAGTACATATGTAGAGGAACATTTAGTATTTAGAATTACTTTTAAAGACTATAAACATCCTACTGTTGTTTTAAAACCAAGCAAAACTCAAAAGGGAATATACGAAATACAAAATTCTTTCACTTCTTTTAGAATCTGAAGTGACCAATAGACACAAAAGGTAATGACTGTCCTAAAACTCCCAGACACAAGATGAAAAAGAACAAAGGAATACCTACTTCTACTCATTTTAACACACTATTTAGAAAGTTTCAGCAATTTACATGTAAATACCAATATTCTAATACTCCACAATCTATCACTGAAATATCTGAACTTACTAAAAAGTAATAAACGTTTTTCTATGCATTCCTGGGCAGCTAAGTATGGGGAATCGTAGTCCCAGGATCCTCAGGGGGACACAATGGCCATTTGTGAGCTGGCTCCGCCTCCTTTCATGCCGACTCTCGCTCCAAGAGGGTACAGTCTACATTCCTGTCACACTGGCCGGGAAAGCCTGCACCCCCACGAGAGGTGTGTGTCTGTGCAGGTGTGGGTGGGCCTGCTTCTGAGGAAAGACACCTCAGCTCCTGACGGTTTCCCAACAGTGCTGGTTACCCTCAATAACAAGAACTATAATTCTAAAGATACTGAAAAAGTGACATAATTTGAGTGGAACTCCCACTCCTCCCTTAATCTAACCACTAATCAAGTATGACTTATTTCACATAAAATGAATCACACCACCATTTATATGTCACTGAAAAAGGTAAAAAGTAGCTCTGAATAAAGAATCAGAAACGAGTGGGAAATGTGACAGCTGATTCTCTTAATACCAAGTAATGAAGTTGTAACAGGAGGCCAGGCTGCCTGTGTAGGCAAGGAAAACCCTGCTGAAGTGTCCAGCCCACCCACTCGCTTACTGAGCACGGGAGGCAGCAGGGACCCCCAGGGTCTACGGAGACGGTGTGGAAAATGGCAAAGTCCTCTGCTTCCCAGGGCCCACTGTGGAGAAGACATTCAAGCAAAGTCACTTTCTTAAAATATGTGTGTGCTAACAAGGCCTCAGATGTAGTCAAAAGACATCTCAAGAAACAGGTAAAAGAAGCCATAGGGCGGAGTAATTCCAAGTATGGAGAACGAACCTCTTTTTTTGCATCTTCCAGACTGGTGTCAGGACAAATGACGACATCTCGGCTACACTGTACGGGGTCTTTTCCAGCCAAACCAGCGATGGTGACCTTGATCTAAGAGAAAAATGTCATCATATTTAAGAACACCGCAAAGTAACATTTTCACAGCTGCCCTGTTTTAAAATAACTTGGCAGGAAATACTGCAACAAAACCATGAGCTGGCAAAATATACTTAGTAACTAGGTTTGTCCCAGTTTGCCTGGGACGGCGCTCATTTACAGACGCTGTCCAGACACCCTGTCTGGTTAGTGTCCCTTCTCCCACAAGTGTTCTGGCTTGGCCAATAAATTATTTGAGCATTCCATTAATAATCTATCCTGCCAAGTTACTTGCCATTTAAACCTCATGGTATTCTCTTAAGGTAGAACTCCAAGTTAAAAATATGAAGTACTTTATCTTGCAAAGATTTACAAAGTTCATAATACCAAGAGCTAGTACCGGAAAAATGGGAATTTTCCTACATTGCTAGCGGTCCCACATGTTGGGACTCTGGAGTCATTTGACAAAATCTAGTCACACCAACTAGGGGCTGTCCTGTGGCTCAGCAAGTCCACTTACAGGCACCGAGGTGAATAATGTTCAGATGTTTGCACAGGAAGCCTGTAAAGGAATATTACAGTACATAATGCTGTGAAACCACGTAATAAAAGAACGAATTCAGAAAGATGGATTGCAGTACTAATACTAAGCAGCAATTTTAAATAAACAGCCTGGATCCATACGTATCTTCGCTCATGAGAACGAGAAAAACACAGGGTCAACACCGGGCCAGACGGCCTGGGCCTGCACACTCGCTCTTCTGCTCACTAACTCGGCAACGCAGGCATCTGATTTGGTGTCCTTGTGCCTCAGTTTCTTCAACGGTAGAATGAGGATGGCAGTAACTCACAGGGTTGTTGTAAAATGTAAACAAGTTTATATAAATCCTTAGAATGATACCTAGCACTCAGGAGATGCTATTTAAGTGTTCAGTATGGTCATATACTACATACGTACACACAGATGTATAATACAGATATACTATATATATACATAGGTGTGTAATACACACATGCAGAATGAGAACTACAGTCTGATGCTACTTTATCTCTGGAATTGAAAGGGGAATACAACTAAGAAACTTTACAGAGTGTTTTATGAAGTTCTATTTCTTTAGGGCATTTGTTCAAGAAATGTGTCTGAAAGAAATACGGTAAAATGTTAAGAAGCATTAAATGTGGAAAATAAACAGGTGATTATGTTTGAAATAACTCATAAAAGTAAATTAAATGTTACTTTATTTAAAATGACTTTTAAAAATCCAAAAATGTTTTTAAAACGGGGGATGGGCTAGAAAACACGGAGGGACTTACTCCAGCTCGTCTCATGACATCTACAGGAATGACCGTCTCCATCTCCTCTGCTCCTTTAGCCAGGATGACCAGAGCTCTCTTTGAAGCCATTTTTAAGTTGTATTTTTTAAAGTCTTAGTTAAAAAAAAAAAAAAAAAAATTTCAAAAAACTTTCACTGCAACCACGGAACAGCGAAAAATCTTAAGTTCAAGAACATTTTTAAGCAGCCTACTAGGGAAAATTTTCAGATAGACAAACATAACTGAATATGAAAAACGCATTTGAGGGTAATATTGGTTTACGTAATAGAATCTCAATTACTATATGTATGAGATGAAAACACAGCAAGGCTGCTAACACGTGTTCATATTAATTTCTTACCATATTTTTAAAATCTCATTTCTAATAACATATTGCAAATGAAGTTTGCTAAAACACAAGGACACAAGTCTTGCATTTCACATAATGCAGGAGATAAAAAGTCTTTTTTTAAAAGCACTATTTTATAGAGAAATGACTAAATTTCATGGGCAAAAAACTACATAAAGTCTTCAGCAATGAGTCTGTAAGGCTTTTGGAGGGGATTTTTTTTTTTAGTTCCAATAACTACTTAAAACTCGGGGCAGGCAGTTTAGAAGTGTTAAATACTTGAACAATTTTTTTTTATGTAGATGGTAATCCCCTCACTAAAAGCAAACCAATAACATTCTCTTTTCACTTAGTTCTCTCATCGTAAACGGCAGCTGCTACGCCAGGGTCTGAGTAAGTTTTAGCCTAATTTCTATCTGCAGCGTTTGTTGTCCGTGCAAACTAGATGTTAATAAAACGATTCCAACAAACGGGATTCTTTCCAAACTGGCGGAATGCTACGCACAGGATTTGGGACGCTTTACACTTGCTACTACACTGCCTGTCGACACGCTTATGCTACAAGGCCGCAGGTCCTGAGACGCGGCGGGGGGCGGGCGGGGGTC